TCGTGCGTTCTCTTTAATTTCAAGATCGTTTATATTTAGCATCCTTGCTTTCGTCATAGCTTGTGCAGTCTATATTTTTTGGTGGCATTTATTTTGATCTTGGAACGTCGTTGCTGGGTCTGTTTTCGAAAAAACAATTTTATTTTATTTTACTTTATTTTATTTTATTTTATTCTATTTTACTCTATTTTACTCTATTTTATTCTATTTTATTCTATTTTATTCTATTTTATTCTATTATTTTATTTCATTTTATCCTATTTTATTCTATTTTATCCTATTTTATTTTATTTTATTTTATTTTATTTTATTTTATTTTATTTTATTCTATTTCATTCTATTTTATTTTATTTTGTTTTATTTTATTTTATATTATTTAATTTTAGTTCATATTACTTAATATTATTTCATTTTATTTCATTTTATCTAATATTATTTAATATTATTTAATCTTACATAATTTTACTTAGTTTCATTTAATTTTAGTTAATTTGATCTTATATTATTCTATAACGACGTTTTGGAAAAACGAATTTAGCAGAAGTGCGACACAAGCGAGCGATCCACATCTTCATTAATAAAACGTCCGCTTGTATTTCAGCAAAGTTCTATTTCAATTGTATCAGAAAAGCACCGCCGCGAGCGCATAATTCAATGCAGATATTTCAAACATCAAGTTTGATCACGGAAATCGGGAATTTAATTCTCGTGCAAACACGCGTATACAGGGTGTCCCAAAAATGTCTGGCAATCCGAAAGTGGCGGGTTCCTCAGGTCATTTGAACAAAAAACAAACCGAAACCAAACCAAAGGCACAGTAATCGGTCGCCCGACGGTAACCGGCACCGCCAGCCCATCAAACCAAAAACAGATTAAAATGAAACCCAACGCGATCACATTGATATTAAACGATCTTCCGTCCGAACAACTCGAAACATGATCCCTATTCCTTCCAAAAGAAAATTCGCGTGAAAATATCCATCTTTCTCTCCAGTCGACTGAAACCAAGCGTAATCTTCGGTCTTCGCTCGTCTCGACGAGGCGTTCGAGTTCTCTCCGTCGTTTCGGCCCGGGGCGAGGCGTACAAGTTCTTAGAGCTTTGTTATTCAAAGAACTCGCGAAGGCCTCTTTTTTAGCTGGAAACCGGCCGGCAGGCCGGCTACTTGTTTCTGCGAACAACTCGTAATTCTGGCCGGGCAACGGTTTAAACAAAATAAATCGCGCGGCAGTAACAAAAGAGCCGGGGTTATACGAGCTCCTGCGCGGAAAGGATCGCGTTCTTTTAATAGCCGGCCGGCGCGGTAAATATCCTTGCCGGTAACGAACGCGGCCGCGTAAATCCTTGAAATTCTGGTTGTTTATAACAACGGTCCTGTGCCGACGCGGCTCGGCGCGGCGCGACGCGGCGCGACGCTGAAAGCGCGCGGCAATAACGCGGAGCCGTTTAATTACCGCGAAATAATGTCAGAGGCCTGGCCGAGGCCGCCGTTAATTTCATTCAAACGAATCTCGCGGCGGCGATATAATTAATAATAATAATTGCGAGCGGCAGCGGCGGCGTCGGCGACGCGAACAAAAGGAAGGCCGCGTCGTCGTCTCGCGTCGTCTCGACGGATACGCGATGTCAATCCTTTCGCTACGGAGCGCTTGCGTGAAAATGTGATCGCTGTGAACGGAGCGTATTATCGAGTAGTTGGCACTGAAGTACGGAATGTATTTCTGGTCTCAAGTTTTCGGTAGTCCAAATGTATTCAGATTTTTGTGATCTGGAGCACGTTACCGTTTGTCTTGCATGGCAAACGCTTTCAGTATCGGTATTTTCACTTTCAGTATTTTCACTATCACTCGTGAAAAATATTCTCCTAAATTTTCTTTTCCCCATGATCTGATAATGGGTCTAAAAAAATTAAATACTTTAAAACTCAACATACTATCGCAAAGGCAGAAATAGAGTATTTACCCGTGAATTATTAAAATTAAGTCAACAAAATTATTTTAGAATTATAAATTCGTGTGATCCTTTTAATCGCTACTATTATAAATTGCTGGTATACATCCGTCGCTGGCAATGTTCTAAAGAAGACCGAAACTGTGTATCGTTAGAATAAAACACAATATCGTCTTGTCAATAGTGTAGTATTTCATGATAGTCAATTGTTTAAGGCATGCAGCGTTGCCAGATACTCGATTAACGAAAGTATCTCATGTAAAGTATGAAATAAAAGTATATATATATATATATATATATATATTGCATGAACGTATATATACGCTCTTCGTACGCGCGCGCCCACTTTTCCAGAGCGTATATTGTATACGCTCCTCGTATATGAATGGTCATTCTTCGAGGGCGTATATATACGCCCGTCGGAGCGAAAGGGTTAACGTAAGTCCGTCCGAGTGAGCTTCTGCACGTCGCGGAACCCCGCGCCCCGCTTCCTCCTCCCCGGTCGCCGCAGCTTAATTAGCACGTTTAATTATGATTTACGTTATTACCGACTGGTAACGCGCGCATTGTCTATGCCGGACAGCCGGTGCGCCGGTGCTAATAGGACGGGCCCGTTAATTGACGGTCTTTACGTGACCTGCTCTAATAGGAGGGACGACGCCGGTCCATTCACGAAGAACTAATGATGAAGCAATGTTATTGTCGATCCCGTGTCCGATCATCGGTTACCCCGGTTAGTCGATCGCCGCCGCCGCCGCCACCGCACCCGTTGCTTCCGCGGAAATCACTCGGATTTCGATGCACGCGCAGCACCGCGTCGCGTTGCGCCCGGCCGGCCGCCTTGTCTTAATTACAATGCGACGAATAATTACGGCCGGATCGACCGCGGAATACGGATTCGACGCGATTCAGCTGGACAGCGAGGGTTCGATGATTTGAGAGAGATTGAGCGAGGCAGAGAAGAGGATCTCGTGTCGCGTAGGAGAGACTCTCTTATCCAAATATTTGTTTTTAGAATATTTTGGTGTCCAAATGTTCTATTGTTTGGGTATTTTATCGTGTATTGTGTATCGTGATGTTGTGTGTAATGTTGTGTACACTATTATCTATTATAATATTATATATTATATTATGTATAATATTATCTAATATAATATTGTATATAATAGTATGTATATTATTATCTATTCTAACATTATATATATTATAATTTTATTATAATTTAATATATAATATTATATATACCATTATCTACTATAATATTATACATAATATTATGTATACTATTATATATTATAATATTATATCGTATATAATATTATGTGTACTATTATTTATTATAATATTATGTATGCTATTATCTATTATAATATTATATAATATTATGTATACTATTCTCTATTATAGCATTATATGTGTATTATATTATCTACTACAATATATTATACATAATATTATGTATGATATAATATATAATATTACGTATTATAATATTATGTACAATATTTTGGATGCCCGTAACAAACCGTCATAATATTTAAACAAAGACTGTGACCATCCTTGCCTCGCTTATTATATCTCTGAACAAGATATTCCTTCCACAAACTTATCATTGGTTTTGACGCAAGCTATAGTATTTCTAAGCACTATACATATTGTGTTTAAAATGTTGATACCGGTGTCTCATTAATATCGGCCTCAAACTATGTTCACTCGCGTATCGATTGGTTTCCATTCGTCTGTCGTCGAGTGACAGTGACAGCGTTAACCTGCCAGATCGTATTAAACTTGCAATTCCTGTGCCTTTGCGATCAAATTCTGTAAGTTATAATTACATCCCGGGTGTTTGTGAATTTATACGATACGTGAACATCGGGATATATAAGCAATGGTATATGTGTATGTATACATATAAAGTCTGACGAGATCGAATATTGTCTGTAAATACGATGTCGGAATATTGGAATAAATATTCTACTATAGGAAAGTCGAGAGGTTTGATTGCCTTTATTATTATATGCAGTATTTACGGATTTTATTTGGACAGTTTTATTTTGGGTGACAGTTCGTAATGTAACAGTGAATGTGCAATTACAAAGGTTATATTAAATTTATTGACCCTTGCAGTGTCGACTGTGATGTAAAGATATAATAGAAGAAGTATTTAGATTTTTAAATATTTTTTATGACATTAGGTTATGTTTGTCGTGTGTGTGTGT